TGTCCCTGCCCCTCACTCCCAGCCACAGCCTCCACCCCAGCTCTGCTACCGCCCCTAACTCCTAACCCACAGCACCCTGACCCCCCAGACCTGCCCCGCCTCACAAATCCATCCCCTCCACACATCCCTGCCACACACGCATCCCGAACAGAACAGCCCCCAAGCTCTGGCCTTCTAACCCCCACCCCCACAGACCTACCTGCATCCAGCTCCTAGGCCTGCTCCCACCCCCACCTGGCTGCATGCTGGCCATGCACGTGTGCGTGTGCAGATGCATGCAATGCTCCCTGCCTCCAATCACTCTCCCCCAGCCCCAAGCAGCTCCTTGCTTTGGGCAAGCCAGGAAATGCTGAGAGAAACTTTGATGCTAAGCAGAGCAAAATCCCAGACATTTGTTAATATTTAAAAAAAACTGCCCTGATGGAGATGGGAGGACCCAAAAAGAGGACATGTCTGGGAAAACCCAGATGTACGGTAACCCTAACTAACCAGACTATAAACCAACTTACTATAGGCTTTACATGGCGTTTCTGGAGTAAGAGGCACTCTAGTATTTTTTTTTCCTTTGCCTGCTTTGAAATACTCTTTTACAAAGAGTACTCATTCCTCCACTCCAGTTTTGACAACCACTGAGTTACTTGAAGTGACTGAATACACAATTTATAGTGAATATATACACTTCATGCTTTTGTGCAGACAGTCAAGCAAAGCAACTGAATATTCGCATTTTTGAAGATGTTTAATTTGAATGACCTAGGCCTTGATCCTATACTGAACAGTGTCAGTTCCACAAGAAATTCTGGTTGCTCAGCATCTCTCTCTCAGAGCTCGGTTCCAAGCCAAGATCTCCACAAACAACAACAACAACAGTACTTTAGGTACATTAGTCCCTATATAGATTCCCGTCCAATTTTTAAGAGCACTGAATAACCTAAAACTTGCATTAACATCAGTATGGGCTTGTGGATGCTCAACAGTTTGACAAAAAAAAAGGCAAATATCTAAACACGAACTTTGAAGCCAAACTTCAGACACAACAGTTTGAAAAAGAGATGGGATCTTTTGATACAAGTGCTTGAAAGGTCACAAATACTGGAGTGAAAGCCAAAGAATGACAAAGGCAAACCTCTGTGAAAAGACAGTAATCATTAGAGCTCTTATTGATTGGTTATTTTGGTTTCTCTTGTCTTTTCCCAAATCTTTTTATGAGACTATGTAGTAATTTAACATCAATTTAAGAAAAATCAAAAACTTTGACCAATTCAATAGTAACTATTCATTGATTCATCACCCATTTTCTCGGAATGTCTTGGCCTTCAGCAATGGAGCTCATTCATCCCAGAATATAGTTATTACTTACTAAATGAGAAGTAAAATCAAGCTATTTAAGTGTGGAACTTTGTGCACTAGTCATAACACTGGCTTTGCTCACTACCTGGAATCAGTTGAAGGAAACTGGACCCAAGAAAACTGGTCTAATAAACACCCAGAATTGATTTGTATTTGTCCTCCCAGGCTTCTCCAGTTATATCTGGGTAGATGGATGCCTATACTAGTGTGGAGTTCTCACAGAAATTTGTGGGACTCCATATCGTTGCTTGGGGTGGTCTGCAGAGTTGGAGTCTTAGAGAGGATACATTTGATATAAGTGCCTCCTGACCCCACAGGACAGGTGAGTGGCATGGGGCCAGTCCATGGACTTGATTCTGTGGGCAGGGCCAACCCCTGGGCCGGATTTAGCACACGGCCACTTCACAGGCAGATCTGGGATGCAGGTACAATCTGGTACAGTGGTCTGGCTCCATGTGCTGGATCCAGCCACGAAGCAACCCCACCCACAGGGCTGTCATCTAGTTTACAGGGCTCCCCATGGATCTGTAAATCTGGGGATGGGGGAGTGGTGGCAGTGGCAACTGCTGTGAATCTGGAAACTATAGCAGTTAATTCTGCCATTGCTCTACCACCACCAAATTTCCAGACCTGTGAGCTGGCCTACAGGCCAGATGACATGACCCCATAGGCCAGAGTATGAGCACCACTGGTGATACACAAAGTAGCAACAGAAAAGTTTAATGAAAGACTCTAAATTTCCTATATTACCGCTCCTGAAATCATCTTTATAAAAACTTTTTAAATTCATAAACATAACCTTAAAAACTTACAACTGTTAGTTCTAAGACCATATTAAACCTATACACTTTTATCATTGAACAGAAACACTTTTAAATATGCATAGCGCAGAGGCAAATTAAGCATTACTTCCCCTACCATATACACTTTCGATAATTTATTACTACTGTTTTACTTTTTTGATGCGAATATACCCTTAACAGTCCTGGTAGAAATGAAGGCCCTTCCAACTGAAAACAGTAATTTTACAAAGATTAAAGTAGCATTGCTCTGTCTGATTTCATTACTTCTGCAGCCAAAGAAAGTGAGAGTCAACGTTAACTACTCTTAACCCTTCTTTCCAACTATTAACAGATCAGCTACAATCATTATCATTCTTTCAGTGGAACAAGATAGGAGGCACTGAAAATATTTTGTAAGTATTTATTCACGAGCTCTCAATACCACGTTGTGAGGCAGTTATTATTAAATCACCATTGTATTGCTGGGTAAGCTAAGGTAAAAAAGTTAAATATCTTGCCCAAAAGGTAGAACCCAAGATTCCCGATTTCCAGTCTAAGTATGTCGTTGTCCAAGCAACAACAAAATAAAATGTCAAAAATAAGTAAACAAACAAACAAAAAAGAAACTCACAATTTTATCTGATCCATATATCCCTTTCAATTGTTCAGCAACTTCCTGTGTCCCATCTGGGCTTCCATCATCTATAACTATAATTTCGAAGTCGATTCCACTGAAATGAGAATAATTTTAAAAGAACACATGGGAAAGCAATTTCACTAGCTGTCATTTCAAAAGGTTTGAAACTCGAGGACAAAGTACTGAGTGATTCACTAGCAGTTAGAGATATGTGCTACAGCTTTTCAAGGCATGATTTAATATCGCCCTGTTTCACTCACATCTCAAGCTACAATTCCTTTACAGCAAATTGCAGCAGGAGCAGCCTGATCATTATCTCACCTACAACATTTCATTTCTGCATTCCCAATAGTGTAAGAGACTGGATGCTAACAATGTTTTAGTTCCTTGGTCTAGCAGTACTTTCCCTGGTATTGGTGCAGAACTGGTCATAGCAAGTGCGAGTCTTCCAATTAGTGTCATTTTGTTCCCTTAACTAATCAGAGTGAAACATAACACTGTTCACTATTAGAGGCAGAATGTAGTTGCCTGTGATATTCTCCATTTGTAAAAGGAAGATTTTCCTAGCACAGATAACCTAGAGCTGTGGCTCCCAACCTTGGGGCACGACCCAAATCAGGGTCACGGGCAGGAGAGGGGGATCTGTCCCTTGCTCCGCCCCTCCCGCCTGCGGGGCTCTCTTGGTGCACGGTCTGCGCGGCTCTCGCCACCGCTGGCCCCTGCGATCCTGGCCTAGGCTCTGCTGGCACCGCTGGGCACGAACGAGTCAGGGGCAGGGGGGGTTGCAGCAAAAAAAGGTTGGGAGCCACTGACCTAGGGGGATAACAAAGTTAACATTATTATTTCATTAACTGTTATCCATCAAACCTAACTACTAATATTTAGGGGCAAATTTTCAAGTCTGTTGGAGAAATGGTACAAAAAGAAAAAAAAAAGTTTTAAATCTAGCCCCGTACAGTTCCAGGCGAGGCCGTAAATTTCTTGACAAGCAGCCAGGCTTCGCTGCCCGGATCCCGGCCTGCGACAGCTCCCCAGCCGAGATCTCCGGAAGCATTTAGCACCAGTTCCCAACCTGTGGTACACGTACCACCAGCGCTACGCAGACCGCAGGTCCGGGCACACGTTAACAGATTGACGATAATTACTTTACACCACACAAGTTCACTGGTGCGACTTAAGGTGGAACTGAAAAGTCCCGCCAACAAATTTTTCAGTTCCACCTTAAGTCCCACCAGCAAATTTAAGGTCGAACTGACAGATTTGCTGGTGGGACTTAAGGATGCATCATTTTAAATCGGCAACGTGCAGCCTGCCAGCGTTTGGGAACCGTTTAGAGGATTTACAGGGAACTTGTGGACGCGCTTGCAACCCCCGCCCCCGAGCAGAAGCCCGGGCTCTCCCCCCGGACCGGGCTCCGGTCGCCTCTCCGCCGGGCCGTGGGCACCGAGGGGCTGCGCGCGCGGGGCCGCACGAGGCCAGCTTCTTTGGGTAAATCCGGTATCTCGTACTAGTCCAATACTTCATAAACAACGACTCCTAAATAACCATACGATTTATTATTGGGTCTAATACAAGATACCGGGTTAACTTGGTCGGCCCACGTCCTCCGAGCAGCACGGCGGCAACCGACGGGCCTCGCGCGCGGTTCCCCGAGCTCGCGGGACACGTACAGCGGGGCCGGCGCCGGCAACGCGGAGGGGCAGAGGCTGAGGGCGGGGGTCGGGCCTGCACCTGCTCCGGAAGCTCCGCACCAAGAGCCAGACGACGAGCGGCAGGTTCTCGCGCTCGTTGTAGGTGGGCAGCAGCACCGACACCTTGTCGACA